GGCTCTTCCCCTAAGCCCTGCTGGGTCGCGCCATAAAGGGAATAGCTACATTCCAGAATTGCCCAGCCCCCTTTCTCCACAGGAAGACATAGGAGTCCCAGACTTAAACCAGGAACCCCAAGATCTATAGAGACCTATAGAGTAACCTGGGACATGGTGGAAGCTGGCCTGTGAAGTAACAGACCAGAAACAAAACAATACTTGCAGCAGACCAGATGTGAGCCAGTGGCTTCTGTGACCCCTTAGTTAGGCATGGGCCCACAGAAGATGTGAAACACCTCTTTTTTATGTGCGGCTTCCCCTGGGGTGCAGCACAAGCACATAAACAGATGCTTTAGCACCATCTCTCCTTCCATCACAGGAAATTCTTGTAGTAAAACTTGCTAAATGGCAGTCAATTATACGAAGTGCAAGTTGGGAGTGAATAAGCAAAACTTCCATAAGAATGCTAAAGTTACTAGTAATTCTGTAGGGAACTGGAAAACAACACAGAAAAGTTAAAGCTATAAGTAAACTCTCTATGACATTATAATATATTTCCCCATGGGGAATCTATAGGATAATTTTGTTGTATGTCTTTTGTTTTAATGTGTTCCCATGTTATGCTTTTTACAAACCACATGACTTACAATCTATACATAACTTTTTTTTCTTTTGAGAACGTATAACATGGCACTTCAGTGATTGTATTTATATTCTTGGTAAACCATAAAGAGGCTTTTTGGCTTGCTGACAAAAAAGCATAAAACGATCTCACCGTCTTCATTTTAGACAATGCACTAGATATGAGGAATACTTGCCTGCCTGCCTGCCTGCCTGACTCTCAATGTTTGTGCAACATGTCCTTGGATTTCTGTTGCTGGAAACCACTTCTGTGGCCATATGTAAAAGTTAGTAGTAACCGAATCAAAAGCTTGATTTTGGTATTATAAAACATGCAAGTTCTTTGGTTAGGAAGAACAGTGGTTGAGAGGGGATTGTTTGAGATGGGAAGGGCCTTTTACGTGTCAGCCTTATGTAACAAGTGCACCAGACTTTGCATACTGCAGGGTTGGGGGGGGGAGCCTAATTGCTTCCATGATGTATAAATAGCCATAGTCTATCACACTGACAGTTGAGACAAAATGGTGCAGGGATGATATGCTCAGTACTGATGACAAAATTCACTTCCCTGTTGTTGTTGTTGTTTTGGGAGTGGGGGTGGGCAATGACATGGAAACAGAATCAAAGTGTTCAGCCATTCAGAGAGGGGATAATGTGATGTCACATTCTGACTTGGCTTTGGTTATACTCAGTGACTCCTTCACATAACCAGATCTAATTTGCTCCAAAGCACTGCAATGCCTTTGCACTCATCTCTGCTTGCTGGGGCTACTTACTCCTAGGAAGAAAATATTGCTTTCAATGGCATCCATATAACAGGCAATTAAGGGATAAACAGGCAGAGAACAAACACTGATAGTGATCAATCTGAGCAAGTGTTTTCTTTATGACGCGTAGGGGGTGGGGAGAATACTTCAGCACTTGCAGAACACTCCTGTTGCCTCCAAAGTGGATCAGGGTGGACATCACTGCTCAGTGGATTCAATGGACATCCGCATCCCATAATGTCATTGGGAAATGACAATGGTAAACTTTTCAATAAAGCTTCAATCTCATTTCTGAAAGTGCAGGACTAGTGTAGAAAATAGAACAGCATTCTTTTATTTAAGCTGCAGTACTCAAAATCCACTTCATCTGGAAGAGTGCCATTAAAATCAATGAATTATACTTGAGTGGGTGGCTTGAGATATCAGTTGAACATTTTTGAAAATACTGGAAGTTTCTTTCTACCTATCCAATTAGTTTCTCTCAATTCTGGTTTCTCTGATGTCCCCTTTCCCTTCATGCATATTTTTTTTTTAAAAAAAAACAAAAACAAAGAAAGAAAGAAAGAAAGAAATGTATTTGGCTTTAGAAAGGGAAAGAGGGTGTGAGAGAGAAATTGAGAGAGTGGGGAATGCATCTGTCAACTTAGTTTCTCCCCCCCCCACCTTTCCTTAAGTTTGCAATTCAAAAATGGATGAAGCGAGCAGGGAGAGTAAAAATGTAAGGCAGTTCAGCCATTCTATTCAAAGCCCTGCTAAACTCTAACAAGAAGGGTGGAAGTCAGAGAATTCATGCCACCCATTTCTTCTTCTTCTTCTTCTTCTTCTTCTTCTTCTTCTCCTCCTCCTCCTCCTCCCCCATTGGAAAAAAGGTGTCTCAGATCCCCCCACCCCGGTTTGGGAGTAGGGATAATTGATAACTCTGTTTGAAATGGGAACAGAAATTGCTGTGATGTGCATGTTTGTTTGAGGTCGGGAATGGAAATCACGCAAACAAATGCAAGCAGGGGTTGTTATCATTGGTTTTCTTAGTTCACAAATGTAACATAAAAAACTACATCATTTTCTGCTTTGTTTTTGACATTTCCCTTCCACTGAAACTCATCAAAATTAATAACATTAGTTTCAGCCATAACAGATAGACAAATAATGTAGGTTTTAGTGGAATTTGAACTGTTGTGAAATGGCAACAGCACCAATTGTGACAAACATAAGATGGAATCACTGTCTCCTTCCATCCCTCTTTAGGACCACGTCAAGGGAACAGGATGACTTTGGATCCAATCCATTTCCTGGTACATTTACATGGGCCCATAAGGCTTCAGCAGTGGCTGGGAGGAGGGTTTTGTCAGTATTGTACTCTAAGCTCAGGTTGCCCCATTTCCGTATTGGATTGCAAACTTCTGCATAAACATTTGGATATTTTTGATGCACATTTCTCCCAATATACACATTTTTACATGGTTTTGCATAATATATGGGGTTTTATTTTGCAAGACTTTCCCCCTAATATAATGCATTTTTTTATACTTTCAGGGTAGAATTGTTGGAAAACTGCATCACAAAATCTGGAGAAATTGTGTTTCAATTCACATATTGGTTCAGGAAATGTGAATTAGCAAGGTCCATATTAAAATGCAAACCAAGTATGTGGCAGCTTTGAGGTTTGGCAAATTAGCATTCATTTTTGTGAGCAACCACCAACTTCCTCAGATACATTCAATGAACTGAAAATGATGCTGCTGAAAATCAAGCTGACATTATGAGTACCAAGGATAATATGATATTACTACAATATTAAATATTTCAAATATTGTGCTGTTTGTTCAAATAGATATCTTCCATAAGAAGCATCTCAGGAGACCCTAATACACAAGTGTGACAATAAAGTTGACTTTCATTTGCCAAGGTCCTCTATCACATAGTCCTATAGTTTAGGCTACAAAAATATTAAGTCTTGTGATACAGTCTCTGTAAGTCCGTAATGTACTGAACAACCACCATGTCTCCGAGCTCAGATTTATACAAGATTCTTTTGCATTTTCACTCATATATTTACGGTACAGAAAACAGTACCAGTTCCTTTGTATAGAAAACTGATGGTCAATATAAGAAAGCAAAGCACACTTTTCAATATATTCTAAGAACAAAAGCACGTCCCTTTTTTGATTTGGTCATTTGGCCAATGCCAGTTCCCTTTAGATTCTGACCCACTTTATGTTCTGACTTCATATTACTCCTGGCTCACAATGGACTCTTTCCTTTGAACGAATCTAGATACAGCATAAAATAAGAAAGAAAGGGATCAAATCACAGTCCCTGTAATTTTCATTCTGCTTTTTATTCTTCTGATTTAATAACATAATTTATCTCCTACACCTCTAGTGGTCTCTCCCCCACCCCAGAACAGTCTTGGAAGCAAGGTCAAAGTCTTCTTGTGTGAACTGATTTTGAAATCAGTCTGGTACTTCGAATTGGAGTAGGAAAATAGGAAAATAAATCAACTGGAAAAAGGTGTGTGCTTGTTCAATTGCCAGTGTTCTAACATGTTCTATGCTACAACATGAAATAAGACAATATGGGAAGAGATGAGAATGTAATCAATTTGATTTCAGCTCAGCAATTCTATCTACTAAAAGCCTTTTCAGGTGTTGGAATCAAAGGTTCACAACACAGAAGCTTTGTGCCAACGCACAGTATAACCTTTGTCTATATGTGGTAGTGAAGAGTAAGCATCCCACGACAGCTGCCCGCTGTATTCGTTCAACTTATATCCATGTGTTCAAGGTTGCATATACAGAGGCCTATATGAATACAGTGGTACCTCGGGTTAAGTACTTAATTCGTTCCAGAGGTCCGTTCTTAACCTGAAACTGTTCTTAACCTGAAGCACCACTTTAGCCCTTGCAGTGCTGGGCTGACACTGCCGATGGGCCCTGAGCCCCTCAGCAACATCCAAAAGCACTGATCTGCTAGGTGCTGGGGTGGATTGCACCCTGCACCTTTCAGAGTCAGGCCCAAGCTGCCACCAGGCCCAGAACTAGCAGCAGCAAGAAGCAGCTCCAGCTCACCCAGCCCTATCCATTGCCATCTCACCACCACACTTACCTTACCTGGGGGTTCTGGATTGCAGGCTCTACTAGTCAAACAGGAGCCTCAGTGATCACCCTCTTCTGCCAAAAACAAACCAGGACTGCTCCAAGAAAATGCATGTGGCAAAAAGGAGCGTTAGGCCCTGATGGGCCACCCCCTTACCCGCTTGTGATTGGCCAAGCGGATAAAAGAAGAAAGGTTTTTTTCCTTCACTTCTCACTTCCCTCTGTGGCCCCCTAGTCTCGTGCTGTGGCCCCTGTTTACGCATTTTTCACTTGTGCCCCCCTTGGAATATCCTGGAGTTCCCCCAGTTGGGAAACACTGATTTACACCATCATTGTTTTTCTTTGGAAGTCCACAGATGATAATGACTTTTAAAAACATTGTGTTGATGTTTCCTTTACACTGACTTGAATGCAAGTTATGTAAATAGCTACATGCGTTACATACTTATGTAGACAGTGAGATACATAATTTCACAGAAGCCAAACTACTGTACAGCCGAACAGAAACAGCACTGAGTCTGACAAATAGACGTCAGAGCTCAGTCTGTAGAGTATGAGGCTCTTAATTTTAGGGTCGTGGGTTGGAGCCCCACATTGGGCAAAGGGATTCCTGCATTGCAGAGGATTGGACTAGACGACCCTTCTGGTCCCTTCCAACTCTACAATTCTATTATTCTTTTAATAGAAACTGCTGCCTTTTTATATTCCTGTGTATTGGTCTCTTCCAAACAATCTAGTTCTACTGAATGCCCATTATTACACAATTGCTAAATAATTGCACCCATGGAGGTGGGAATAGTATTTGAATCCATGTCAATTGAAAGTGAAAAACCTCCTATTATCTCAAGGACCAAACTAGCAGCAACAGAAGCATCTTAAATGATTTAGATCATTAGGAGGCATTTTTTAAGACCTCAAATCCTATTTTCCTTGAATTTTAACAGTTGTTTAATTGTTACAAGTGCGACTTCGTTGTCCAGCTTCACAATAGCTGCTCTCCAAACTTTCCAATAATTAAAACACTTGATAAATATTCAGTGATAATTTGTTGAGATTGCCATTTATCAGTTTTAATGATTATGTTTCTCACATGTTCAGCAGGGACAATTTGTTCTGCAGAAGAAATTTACTTCTCACAAGCATAAATCACAATTAAAAATAATAACATCACCTCTCTACTGCAGATCCAAAAGGGGGGGGAAATCCTTTTCAGCTAAACAAAGTTTTCCCCCTGATGCACTATGCATTCCAGTCTTTGTTTCAACGCAAATGTCATATAATTATGCTGGAAATATGGAACGTTTAACCAGCAGGAACTCAAATACATGGCACCATTTGGTATCATTATTTTCACAGTCACTCCATAAAGAACAGCCTTTCCATGGTGATAAATACTGTAGTATTCACATGATGCCTACTGATTGGGATCATATTCAAAAGACTTAAGTTCTATTATAGTTTTTTAAACCTTTTCTGTTGCATCTGATGCCTGCTACTTAGAGTGTAATTCCACTGGGATTGCCAATATTCTCTGGGTCCCATTTCCCTGGAGGAAGTGAGATCTGAAGTAAGCTGTAACAGAAAGGACTTCATGTGCACAAACGAGTTTTCCTCCCCTTCCTTCACATTTTGCAATGACTCTAAATATGTCACACAACAGCATTAGTGAAAAAGCAGTGACACCCTGTGAGCAGCAATGTATGAGAGGTAGCACTTTAATCCAATCTGTTAATTGTGTTCTTTTGCTCTTCCACAAAAGAGTCTGTTTTCAATGGGGACTGTACAAGAGAAATTCCTGGTGGATTGTGGCCTACTTCCTAAGGATGAAGAGGATTTTGGTTAGCTCTTAATTTTGGAGCAAACCTAAACACACACACACCACTGTCTTGGACCCCATGGACAAACTGGAATGAATGAAGTTGCGCAGTCAATGAACTGATCTCTGCATGGGTCCATACTGGACTTATGAGGTAGCCCTAGGGTTGTCTCTTTAGCACTTTACAGTTGCTTAGAACACCTAATACCTGTTTATGGCAACGTGGTAAAAAACAACAATCCAGTTTTGAAATGCTCCCAGGAAGTTATGAACACAGTCACTTCTTGGTAGGAATGTTGGGGAATTCTGACGAAAACAGAAACAGAAGTGGAAATTTCTGGTATCACTTATTTGTCCCATGTTCACAACAGCAATCAACCAAGCAAATGTGATTTTAGTTTAGGATAGCTCAGTCAATAGACCATGAGGCTCTTAATCTCAGGGTTGTGGGTTTGAGCCCCACACTGGACAAGAGATTCCTGCATTACAGGGGGTTGGACTAGATTACCCTCATAGTCCGTTCCAACTCTACAGTTCAATTATTCTATGAATACATTCTGTGCCCCCACCCATTACATTGTGTTTCTTTTACATTGAAAGGAATACAATAACAACATAACCCACACAACTAATTAAATAATGTAGGCTATGAGATTTCACCACAGTGGACATTGAAATGAATGGTGTAGTTTTTGGTGGGATATGAACTGCAGGGGAAGGGAAACAGTGGCATGTACAACAACATGGTGGAATGGAAAATAATGCTTTCTTACATCTTTACTTCGTGGGGATTTGTATGGAGAAAAAGATGGCTGCCCCCACCCCCTGTATCAACCCTCCTCCCATACATTGTCCCTAGTAGCTTTACTGTATGGGAAAAAAGATGGTTGCCCCCATGGCTAGATTCATAAGAGCATGCAAAGAAGCCCACTGTATCAAACTGATACTCCACCTAGTCCTCACCCTGTTTTCCACAAGGGCCAACCTGAAAGCCCACAAGCAAGACATCGAAGTCATTGTCCCTTCTCCTTGCTGTCCTCCAGCAACTAGTATTCAATGACATAGTGCCTCTGGGGCTGGAGGTTTCATATAGCCATCATAACTAGGAGCCATAGACAGATCTTCCATGAATTTATCTAATGGCCTTTTAAACCCATCAAAGCCAGTGGTCATCACCATAAATTCCATGATTCCATAAATTCCCTGTTGAATGGACATGGCTTCATCCTCCCTTTGAAAGGCCATTTAACACATTAAATTGCAGCAAAGGCAGGATTTTCACCAAGTGCCAAACATTCAGTCAGCTTTGGCCAACCTTGAGACTCTCTGATGTATGTCCTTGCATGACATTCCTCTTTGCATTGGCCACATTGGCATGTTACATGTGTTTGTCAAGGGTAAGCTGGCCACGGAGATATAGGCATGTAATAAAACCCATGCGTGAGTATCCTATACTTTATTAGAAAAGGAGCTTGTGAAGGTGGGATGCAACCTATCCTCCCTCCTCAGCTTTTCCTTGCTGTGCTTGGTTGCTTCAAGCACTTTTCTCCCTAGCCTAGTTCACTTCTGATATAAGAGCCAGGCAGGGAGCAGGGGCACCATTACCAGCAGACTACTCAGCATACATCTAGAACCAATAGAGCCCAGGGGGCTGCTAAACAACTGTTGGAAGAGGTGGGCCCAAGGCAACAAGCCCTTGTGCACTATAAAGCCTATACCTGAAGCTACAGCTGTCATTGGATTATTTAGTTTTAATTCTTCACTTTTAATTCTAAAACTTTCCCAGAGTGCCCACTTGCTGCTCTAGTGCTTTCCTTGGCATCTGAGTAGCTGAGTTCATTGGCTCCTTCATTTCAGTCCTCTTCTGCACACTCCTTTTTGTGTAAATCAATGCCCTCCATCCGCATCACATCTGTTTACCTGACTGTACCTCAGTGATGCCTTATTCTCACACTAATGTACATGGACCCTGAGACTACAGGTAGATGTGAATTTTGTTTCAGTTCATATTGTAATGTGAGCCAACCCTACTCACACTTCCTGAAAAAATACACTCAATGAAACACAGCTGTCCTTCAAAAGTCACACTTCAAAGAATTTTGGGGTGCATTTCTCCAGCTAAACCAGGGGGACATATTAGAGGGAAATGTGCATAAATATGCATATATTAGTGAAAATAGCATACAAAGAGACATTCTACCAAGAAAAAAAAAAGCACGCTGAAAATTGTTTAAAGAACAAACTCAAACCAAAGTGGATATGTGATAAACTGGACTTTGTTGAATATCAAAAAGAATCCAAAAATGACACATTTGTCTGTATCTATCTGAGATCTTTTTCAGGTCCCAACATAATCTAAAGTGGGTGGTGACGTGATTGACCTTTTTTCAGTTGTGGTACCCAGTCTTTAAAGTTCCCTCCCCAGAGAGGTTCACCTGGCACCAACTTTGGTATATTACACTTCATTCTCACAGTGATTCTAGGTACACTGGTATTTATTTTCCTACTGCCATGGGTTTTAATTTTTTGTGTCCTTTTTAAAGCATTATCTGCTTTTGCTAATGGTATGTTAAATGCTATGATTGTTGTTTTAAATAGCTGCTTTTCATTATTTAGTCACTCTTGAAAATCCCTTTAGTGCTGGAGAGCAGGGTATAAACGGCCTCGGCCCAGAATACCTGAAGGAGAGTCTCCACCCCCATTGTTCAGCCTGGACACTGAGGTCTAGCTCCAAGGGCCTTCTGGTGGTTCCCTCACTGCGAGAAGTGAAGTTGCAGGGAGGGCCTTCTTGGTAGTGGCGCCCACCCTGTGGAACAGCCTCCCATCAGATGTCAAGGAAATAAACAACTATCTGACTTTTAGAAGACAGCCCTGTTTAGTGAAGTTTTTTAATGTTTTATTGTGTTTTTAATATTCTGTTGGGAGCCACCCAGAGTGGCTAGAGAAACCCAGTCAGATGGGCAGGGTAAAAATACATGTCAATGAGAAAGGCCATACAGATGACAACCCAGCCACATCTAATTGTATACTTACAGTCACAGATTACAATTTTAGGATTGTTTTAAGGGTGGGTATAAGTAAAAGAACATATGAAATTATGCTTACATTTTGAAGATATAGCAGGACTCTAACATACGCTTCAAAATATGACAATACTGATTCTATTTCCCTGCAAGATTTGGCCTTAGAGAAATGTGGTTTGTTCACAGTACACTCAACACAAAAGTACAGATGTTTGCACCATGCTGAGAGGCCTTGTAAGGTGACGGTTGTTCGAACTGGTATTTCCCTAATGTCTAGAAGGGTTCCATGGTTCATTTTTCTTTTGTTCTCCAAAGGTCATGATTCTTCCAATAGAAAATGAGCCTTCTCATAAAATTCTAGCCCACAGCTTCCAAACCAAGGCTGCATTAGCCACAAGTTCCCCCAATTCTTGTTTCCCTCTTGGCTGATCTTTCTATTTCTAATGACACTACTAACTCACTTGTTAAAGTAAAAATAATCATTAAATAAATGCATGCTGTTTGGAAATGGACAAGGAGTGGGAGATCTGTCTGCAACTATTAAACCATATGCCAAGCTGTCTTTTTTCACCTGTATTTTAGCATTTGATGGCAAAACTCATTTGTATCTCAAGGCTTGATTATATGTTGAAGTTTAATCCATGGAGATGCAAACTGTCAAAAGCAGTGTTCTGAACCCATTCTTAATTTGCAAACAAGGATCTAGAAAATGTTGGGAGAAAATGGACATGTGAGGGGCTTTGGGGGGTGTTTTCCAAGAGAGAAGGGGATGGTTGGGCCTCTCTTATGCGTATCTGCAGTGCAATTTGAAGGGTACACCTAAGTTGCTAAGGTGGTACTGGCTGGTACCCATTGAGACTTGTGGGGTGGATCCAGGGTGCCAAAACAGTAGGGAAAGCTAGAGCCAATGACAGTAAGAGCCAACCAATTATAGTTTTGTCCTCATCCCCTTCCTTGCTGAGTTCTACAAGGGCAACATTGAGACTAAGAAGGAAGGGGAAGCTGAAAGACAGTTCCATTTTCTGGGAATGGTTGTAAATAGGAAAGCAGGCAGGTGGTGGCTGGCTGAGAGCACACAGAGGTTGGTGGCACAATGTCCCATATGCCTTAATGAACCAGCCTCCACTGTGCTTATGGTTTGAGAAGTATAACAGACTTGAATACTATCTAAGAGTGAACAAGGAGGTAGTTCAGATGCCAGAGCATGCCAGAAATATATTTGTAGTGGCCCATACCTGTCCCTTTCTATGGCAACATGGCTTGCTTAGGCCTTTCTTGCTGTCCTTGTTGGAATGCAGCTTAGAGTATTTGGAGAAGGAATCTCTATAGTAGGTGGAAAAATTGGAAGAACTACATTCTTCCACGCAACATGGCCAGAGGGCAGTTGGAGGGTTTTCCAGGTAGCAATGCTTCAGGCATTTATTTTTTTTACAGCCTTGCCTCATCAAAAGCATTTTGGAGGCAGCTTGCAAATAATAATAAACTCCAACAACATGAAAACAGAAAGAGCAAAATATAAAGCAAAACAGATCCCAGCAACCACAGAGTAAAATATGAACTGTGCCACAGTACATAAACAAAGCCCAACTTAGTGGGTAGGTGTGTGTGTGTGTGTGAGAGAGAGAGAGAGAGAGAGAGAGAGCTTTCAAAACTAGCAGCCAATAAAACGACATCCTAAGATAAAATGCCTGAAGAATTCAGTTCATTTTTTCCTGGCACCTAAGGCTCTTAACAGTGGGCTTCAGAGCCACGTTTCTAAAAGGGGCATTCTGAAGATGAGACGCTATCACAAAAAAGCATAGGAGGAGAAGGGGAAAGTAAACAAAGATAGAATGCTGTGGAACTTAAATTGCTTGCAGCTTCATCTGTAGAAAGTTGAAACCCAACAACATCTGGAGGGCCACAGGTTCTCCATCATTGGACTAGATGAACCCAACCAAGGTTATGTTTAAGGATGGGACTGGTGGGGAACTCATACATGACCCATGTTGCACTGAAGCAGCAGAGGAGGGGAGGGTATTTTAAATCTCTCCTAACCACATTTACTCAAGAATTCCATAGGACAGCAAGTATGATGTCTGAAACTTTATCAGGGCACCATCCCCCCAGCCCTCCAGTGAGGGTCATTCTAGCAAAATGGTTCCCCCAGTGCCTAGCAATGCTCTGATCCCCACCTACTTGATTTTAGCAGGTGGGTGAAGCCAGAGAAAGGTTTCCTCAGATTATCTTAGGGTATGGAGTCTCACATGGGAGTCATCATCAATCCTTGAGGTGCCCTGATCCCAGGCTATATGCAATGGATGGGGAACCTGAGACCATCCAGATGTTGCTAGACTCCCACTTCCATCATCCCAGAACCCTGGCCATGCTGGTTGGGGGTGATGGGAGTTGAGGTTCAACATCTGAAGGGCTTCGTGTTTCCCACCCCCATTGTATGGAGAAAGAGGA